ATCTTCAAGCCAAACTCAGAAGAGGCACATGCTTTTCACTCTATCCACCTGGCTTCACATGACTCTGGGCATAAAGTAGCATATGCAGGAATATCATGTTACGCAACAGTGCAAGTTGGTGTCCCAGTGTAGGCACAATAAAATTGGCGATTGCTCACATGTGAAGGTTCATAATAGTGTCGAAGGAGCAAATGTTTTTGCTCGGGGATTTTTTCCATCATATTATGCTCTCGACCAGTCATTGCGTGAGAAGTTGATATTGCACAAAATGGAAAAACAGCAAGGTTCAACCAACCGATAAGCTACGCATTTGTCTTATACGAATCGAGTCGAAATTTAGTGTACACACAAAAGTGTGTTTGAGCTGAGCCAAAGAGTCGCGAGGACGCTCAGAAATGCATCCTCTCTATACGTCGTTATGAAAGAAAGATTAATTTTAGACTAATTTGGCCTCAACTATGAGATTTGCCTGAACAACTGAGCCTCACAAGCACCAGATAAAGTGCTAGCCCCCTGTTTTTTTCCGTCGGAGCAAGCCGATTCATGCGTCTGAAGCTACATGGCGCAGATTCGTCTCGCTTTACACATGAATGCTAACACTTTAGAAAGGTGAAATGGAAAATGTTGTTTCCACGCGTCGATGTAAAGGAGGTGAACGAAAGAAGTTAATCGTGGAAAATTGGGGAGAACACCTTTGGGCTTCATGAACACTCGGACTAGCGTTGAAAGCAGAATTCATCTGCCTGAACATTCACGTTGGCTCTGCTCAATCGTCCTCGTACTGTTCACAGGTCGGCCGAACGAGAATATTTATTAGTTTCTGGTGTGACAGAGGAGGAGAACTCGTATATGGCTAGGCTCGAAACTAAGCTGCCAGTGAAATCACTTGAGCAGGTAGTATAGTCTGCTTACGTGAAGATGTCAATTTACCATTAGTAGTGCACATGAGTAGTAGGGAGAACAAGTAATTCAAATTAAGTGCTCACATTTAGTGCTGAATCAAAATTATCTCATTTTGCAATCTAGTTGGCCTGTCCTAAATGGATGTAAATTAAGGCTTTTTTTCGCCCCAGAATTTCTGTTCCGTGACCCACTGGAGTCTGTGGTCGTCGAATCCCGTTGGGGTCTCGGATGAGACTGGGGCGAGGTCATCGTTGTCGTCCGACTCAGATGAAGAATTATTTTGGGAGACAAGACTAATTCATTGGCATCGTGACGCCTATTCACTTCATTGTGAGTGATTTCAACATCCGTATCAAGATAGTATCAAATGGCCTAGGCTGACTGTGGTTCTTTTGCATCCCACTTATGCTGGGAGCTGTAGTGTAGTTATTTTTATTTCATTCAATCGTGATGTTCTTCAAATTCAAGCTATTACCCACCACAAGAGGCCATGAATGGCATTGTTTCACCAAAGTTTCCGTGAACAAATAACTAAATCCATGACCAGACAGACGGTAATAATTGATGTCATTAGATTATTTAAGTAAGGCAATTAGAGACATATGCAGTTCCGAAACTCTGCTTCATTCCGGCAGCCGATGCCCTATTTGCAGCGGGTACCGAGAATGCGTCAGCAGCATTTCTGACCGCTTTTCTTGGCTCACCTGAAGACGGTAGGCTCTCAAGGTGATTGCCGTCATCCATGAAATCACTCCATTAGTTCGAACTATTTTCACTTAATCTAATTTATGCTGAATTTCATCTGCTGAACTTGCCAGTTGCGTCGCCTTAATCCCCTTGAGTAGAAACGCAGCCTGCCCTACAGATCCAATATCGCTTTTGCTAATCTCCTAGCCACTGCATGTGCCATTAAGTGGGAATATCTACATTTAACAGGCAACAATTAAGAGGGCAAACCTACTCAACCTGAAACTGAGTACGACCGTAGGCTCAAGCGTTTGGCCATGAGATTGCCCGAAAGTGTGGGCTGAGCATTCGATGAAAATAGTTAGGATATTTTACGAGAATAGGAAAGTATTTAAATTTCTTTCTGCCTCACTTGTCCTATGCGTAAATAGGAGGCAAGATGACTAGGTTCGAGTATATATTTGGTGCTTACACGTTTGTCCCAACTCTTTGGTATAGGTGCTGTCGACTAGGAAATGGGATTGAAAGCCAATTCCAAGTTCTGTTCGGCTTACAAATAGGCCTGTTAACAGAGTCTTATCCGAGTTGGGTATTTTCAGCTAGTAGTTTCTGATGCTAAGGCACATTTTTTGCTCAAAAAGCAGTTTGGCTACTGTGAGCAACTCAAGATGTACCGAATCACCGAGATGGAGGCTTTTTTTCCACTTTGGCATGTATTAATCGGACAGTTGAGCTGTCAAAGATGGCAGTGAATGCTCAGTCTAGCGTAAGACTTTGAGTAGTGGGTGTATAGCTTTCTTGATGGCTGGTTTAAGTTGAGCCTTCATAAGTGCCGAGAAGTGACAGGAGAGAGAGTGAGTATGATATCAACCAGCTTAGAAGGAAACCAACATAAAAGTCAATAATTTCTATAACTAGGCTTAAATGAAGTGGAGAAGAGAATTATAGAATAACTTACTATATTGCCTAAAGTGTACGGATACATTTTTTAGCATCTTCGGTTTGAGGAAATCAGAAAGTTTGACTTCAGGGTGCTCAAAACCTAAGTTATGCTTTTGGCTGTGTTGGTAAATCACGGCTAAATTATCTGCAACACACTTCGAAGAACAGGAAGCCAAATCAGTCAGAAGGCGAGAAGGATTGAAAGTAGAATTTACCCACATTTATTCGAGTAGGTCTTATAATGCCATTGAATTGCCTATAGCAATACCTGAACTGCGGTTTCGATCTCGCCTCGGTCTCGCCAAAAACAAATCATCGGATTCGAAATCGGATCGTGTGCAACTTTGTCGAATGGTACCTCTTCACTTATTCCAGAATAACTTGTTGTTTCGAGATCTATTCTTGCTGAACCTGCGTAACTTGGTTGAGTGTAATGGCAAATACCAGTTTGCCGCCGATTTCGGTACCAATAACCGGTCTCTAGGGCAGGTTTGCTGGCCGCGTCTAGCGTCTATTAACCCTCAAGGGCTGGAAGCCATTCTGAGGTGTGCACAACCTCTCCGCGTAGTCCTGATCACCGCCTCTGCTAAACCGATTAATTCTGTAGGTGTATAATTTTGGAGATAATCTATTTATGTGGGCCTGTTTCAAACAGATGTTGTGCCAGTGAAGACCTCTTTCGAGCAGCATGATAGAGTCAGATGTCACAAAAGCCAGGAATTTAGGGAAGGCCTCATCTTCGGTTGGCCCATGATGACCACTCCAACACACGATCGTAGGGACAGCTGACTTGTGACTTGTATGACCGATCATCACTTCGACTCCTCGCACATGCAGTTGGACGAAGCATAGAAAGTCCAGGGATTACGATATGTTATATTAAGAAAATCTGAGATTCAAAGAAGTCTTTAATGATTTATTGTGACATGATATTTCATTTCAAAGGAATTCGAAAATTGGTCTCACCGAAAGAAGATAACACTGTGCTCGGGGTCAAGTGGTTTCTTCACTCCAAGACAAGCCTCCCTCGTTTTCGGTAGGACAAATTCTCGAATTACGTCCAGACAACTTTCCATTTCCGATGAAAAGTCATGTCATAGTCAGGACATATTGTGAAAACTTTCCTTTCTATTGGAAGTACCTACTGAAGGGATTCGTGGGTCAATTTCCCCCGAAAACGTGGGCGGATTCGCGTTGTACTGCAGCCGTTTGGCATTAATACGGCGTTCAGGCTGATGTAGTCCACGAGACATCCATCAACGTATCGGGCGAAGACGGGCTGAGCTTTGTTTCTTCATGTGACAACCATCGTCAGAGCTGGGACTCATTCTTACAAAAGCCTCAAGTTAACACGAAGTCTAGAAGAAGAAGAAGAAGAAGAATAATAAAAAATAAGAAGAAGAAGTCTTCTTGACTTAGTATTAACTTGAGGCTTTTACAAGAAAGAGTCCTAGCTCTGACGATGATAGCCATGTAGCATGACGGACGAAAGGTTAGCCCGTCTTCACCCGTAACAAACTGAATGCAATACGAGTCAGCCGGCGACTTCTGGCGAGATTGACCTACTACTCTCTTCCTAGTGTACTTCCATACGAAATGAAAGTCCTCACAACAGTCTTAGCTAATGAGATTGTTCGAAACCTGCATTTCCTTCGTATACATAGTTACGTCATGTCTATGGTGACCATCAATTCTTGATAGTAGCCTATTCACCCAAGGCCTCTTAAGATTATTTATATATTCGTAGTACAATTTTCCCACGATCAGGTGAGTAGTCAGCACGATACTGTTGAATTTCCCTTTGACCTGCTACGGGCAGTTGGCCAAATGGCCGACAGATTGCCTCGAGGACAAGAAGACTCTCTTTCACCCTCAAAGCCGCTCTGGGACCGGTCAGTCCGGGGCAGAGCTACAGGGGACGGCCCCGTCTGACCTCTTCTCGGGGGCAATGCGATGCAGACGACTGGCCGGAGTCGTCATTATTTGCATCATTCTGGCAGGAAATCCGATAATCCCTATTCCGTAGACCAGCCTTCGGCCAATCAAGGCACCACTTCCGCCATATTTAGGCTCTCTGAAAATGCCCTTTTGCTAAAAAGACTTTCTCTGCCTTGTCTTGAGCATCTTAATCTGCCTTGAAAAACACCGACTTGGAAGCCAAATCAAAGTGGACGTAAATTTTGCCTGAGGAACAGAAAAAAATAGGGCAAGGCAAGTCGATGTAGCTGTATCGTAATTACAGCCCTATTCAACTAAATTAAATAGGGGCACGTAAGCAGCCGAAACCTTTCTCAACAAGATGGCCTGAGAAGTACTTTTCTCCAACTAGCTGACAGATCTCTTGATAAGCAAAGTGTGGAATTATTCGGCGTTTTGTTGGAAAAAACAATCTAGCCCTTCACCCCTTACTCACCTACCCCAATCCCCACAAAAATAGCTTCTCCCATCTTCAGGCAAATGCACTAGTTTATCTAGTTATCATGTGATTGAGAAAACTAGCCAATATTTCCTCAGCCTTATGAAGGATTGCAGTGATTATTATGAGCTTTGTAAAATGCCGAAAACGCAATCAAGCTCAACATCAATCCGCAGCCAGATATGCGATTCTAACCTCAGAAATTGTCGAGTTTCATCTTACAAGTCATATATTGGTACATAAAAACTAAATTGCAGCATCTTCCTTCAAAGAGTCGCTTGGAAAATGAGCAACTTTGAAGTTTTTTATTCAATCTTCACTATAAAAGCCTAGTTATGTTATACGCAAATAGTGCCATTTTATAATGTTAAAAATAGTCTCTCAGAGATCCGGCATTATATGGGCACAAAAAGGCCGGTTCGCATGGTTCTGATGATGCTTCGAAAATATTATTTCTAGAATTTAAGAAGTTAAGAAACCAAGAGAAATCTATATTCCTTCCAAACTGTTTGTGGTAGATGGCAGTTTCATCCTTGCAAGATAGTGTCAAGTCAGTACCGAGGTTTCGTGAATGTTATGTGTCAGTAAGGGAATCCAGCAAATTAGGTCTATGGTGCGGATGCCTCTACGCTTAAGCCCTATCATAGAATTATAGGATTAACACAGAGCGAGCGAAGTGTTGTGTATCCCTCTTGGAGGTCTATTCTTCTGCTCTTTGCTTAGACTGCGTAAACCCGTTCTACCAAACTATGACTTCATCTAAATCTCGGAGGACTTTAAGCAAGTACTTTGCTCAAAACAGTCTACCCACAAACGAAGATATGTTCAGAGTAGATAGGTAGAAAAATTGGTTTTCGAAGAATCCCTTAATATATTAAGGTTAGAGAACCTTTCATTTGTTTTGGAGTGATGAGTTTAAGGTGGTGTTCTGCTCTGACGACGATCGTCGCATGACGGACGAAAGCTCAGCAAGGATTCATCGGGGCCGCGGAATGGTGAGTCGAGGACTTATTTGCGCAAATATACAGTAACAGCTCCAAGACAACCTCCTTTCGACTTGTGGTGAGACCAACTCACGAATTCATTTTATTCATCACTTCAAACAAAATAAACGATACTCCAACATATGTTCAGAGGGCCCACAATATATGACTATGACAAGCAGACACTATAAGGGTTGCCACTAAATTTCGCTGATAATGCTAAGTATCTATTAAGCCTATACATGATCGGTGAAGTTACTTTGTGATGCACTTGGTATTTCATGTATTTCGGGATTTATATTGTAATTGAGTTGATAGAATTAAAAGTTTTCATTGACTTGGGCTATTGTCTATTTATATACTTTCCACGCTGCACCATCCTGAAAAAAGGAAACAATGTATGAAGTTGAGCGGAAATTCATTCTGACCAGTGGAGAGCATTAGTGAAGAAAAGCAGGATGAAGAAATAAGCAAAGGGAAGAGGCCGGATTAAGAACGGCATTCACCCTATTTCACTTAAGGTTATGCAGGACTTGCCGTTGGATTTCACCATTTCATGCTTCCATTGAATTTCACAAAGCCTTGCCTCCAAAAAGCTATTCCCATCCAAACTCGACTGTGCTTAAGTTTCGACCTCGCCTGAAATGGTTTACTCTGCAACCCTAGGGGGACTCGAACCCGGGTTGTAGCAATTCATGCTAATATACTTGCCACGCTCCCTTGAAAAGGCCGAAACTTATCAGGTCTGCCAAGTTTTGTACTGAATGGTTGTCCGAGACTATCAATGGATATTCAATAAGAATTGTAATCGACTTTATTTGCTTAAGATAACAAAGGCCGAATCGTTTAATTTTCCCACCAGAATGTAGGTTGGCCTCACGATGCCAGACTTTCTCCATCGAAAGGAATTCTAATCCAGCATGGACGACGGTTTAGTCCTCGTCTGCGTTTCATCAGCACCCTCGACCGGACTCGAACCCGGATGGCATTCCGTAACTTTTCGTCATGTCACCACTACGAGAGACTCCTGGCTGGCTTTGAGATTCCCGTCGGCTCTGTGATCCACTGGCACCCATGACTCAGTGACGTACTGCTAAGCATGTCGAATTAAACAGTCCACTAACCGGGTTCGATTCCCATCGAGGGTGCTGACGAAACCCAGGCGAGGTCGAAACTACAATCCATCCTGAGTAAGAATATTTTTATGTTCTTTTCACGGGGCTGCAAACAACTGCGCTAGGCCTTCGGCCGGCATAAGTTCGACGGTTGCGACAGAAGCACCAGTTTCTCTTTCCTCTCTCGAGTATTTGGGATTCTTCAATGCTAAACTGAGAAGTCTGTGAGTTGTAGAAAGACGGGATAAGATGCAATAAGAGGACGCAGAATGTGAACTTGGTCTCGTCCTCAATCAGCCGTCGTGCAGACCTCTTCACATTTGCGAAAGACATTAGTACCCTGACAATCATCCAATTACCAGGCGCCATATCGTTAGTCACCTAGGCACTGGTAGACAGCGGATATCTCGAGATTGTGACCAATCTATGCAGCTCGGAGAGAGTCGGCTTGCGGAAAACAATTGTTCTGTTGTGCCAGTAATTGGCTTGAACTTAGAAACTCCACCGTTTGCCTCTCAAAGTATCGCATCTGTGCACTTTGGGCATCGGGTTACGCTAGCCACGGTCACAGAGAATATGTATTGATGCCCCGGAAGAATATGTGCATTTTTGATGGGCACGACGACGCATGTGCATCACATGTGTTATGGGATGGTGGCGCAAAATGGTCGTTGACACGGCCCACCGTTTTGGCAACACGTAACGACGCGCAAATGCACTCCTAGATTTACGCGATGGCAACCGTCGCCTACACCACAAAATTGCCCTGTCTTAAAACTCCGGATTTCACACTTTCTCTCTTCCCGTCTTTGAGGCGTCCGAAGTCATCACGCCACTCCCTTGTCTGGGCATAGGAGAAAGTTGCCTTGAGTGGAAAAGCATAAACAGCTGTGTTAGGCCAATCTGCTGGCTCGGGGGCAGATGCTTCTGCTAACCCGGAAAGGTGTACGCGACGGCACAATCTTCGCCCGTCCCTCGAACTCGTGTTGCCTCGAGGTTTCAATGATGCTGGCGGAATTGAGGCAAGTGGTGCAACATCGGAACACTTGCCAGACTTACATACGAAGAGTAGCCGAACTTTAATTGAATCTTTTAACATGGCATTTTTGTCGTGACTTTCATTTCGTATGAATGTGCATAATTGACGGATTAGTGGATACATTTTCGCATGAAGACGACGGAGGATTCCTTCCGGCATCAGCTGTCGTCTGGCTGTACTGGAACCTGGCTGACGCTGTCCTCTTCGGCTCCAGTGCGAAATCGCTAGGCGTTCGTCTGCCCTAAGACGGATATCATCAAAGCAGATTACAATTCATAGGCTATATATATATATATATATATATGAATAGATGGATAGATAGATA